TAACTATTTGCTGCAAATGCAACAAAAATCAATATAAAAATATTACCCACACAGCATTCTACAGGTTACTTGTATAGTATATTGATGGTATTAATCCATTGATTTGATTGGTCCAAACACAAAATTTGCATATGCAATTAATGGTATATTAGCTGATAATGCACGGCTAAGCCAACATGACATTGTTAATGGCTTTAACCATTTTTTTGTCTCAGTTGGGGGGGCACTTGCTAATAACTTAAATCATTGAACTAAATCCTATCATTCCTATCTACCAAAATCCTTGCCTCAATCTTTTTTTCTTCACGAAACCTCTGAACAAGAAATATTTCAACTACTAAAAGCACTTGATAACAATAAGGCTGTGGGTTATGATTATATTAATTTATGCCGCAAAGTACATTTCCCGACCTCTTAATCCTCTTTCTCCCAACCACATATATTTCATGATTTTCTAGCAGGTAACTCACCATGTCTACACTGGTATAATAACTGTCAGTGTACAGGACATGATGGCATCCCCTAATGTCAACGATAAGCCTTTCACACAGATCTCTTGTTCTGGACACATCCCTTCTATACTTCTCATGACTACCAGTAATTGACATGATCTCAATCCTGTAGTTGTAGCCTGATTTGCTATCAGCCAAGGCATATATTTTGAATCCCTTAGCATGGGGTTTTCCCTGGATAAAAACTGTAGGTACTCCTCCATAACGACCCTTGTAGCCAACAATAGATTCATCTATGCTAACCTGGCGATGCATGTTGTAACATTCCCGGGAATTGGTGAAGACAGCATCCAGTACTGGCTGTACTTTATACAGAGGCGCTTCTTTTCTCCTTTCTCTGCGTTCTTCATCATTGACTATATTCATTGGGTCAGTTTCTGGGTTGTTACAGTGAAAATACTGCATCAGTTTTTGGTACCTGTTGCGGCTCATAACATTGGCAATGTAGTCATTTCTTATAGCTTGGTAGGTGGACCAGTAGTCTGCTATCTCTGGTTTTGAATCAACACCCATGATGGCAATTATTCCAATCAGTGCACTTACTTCTTCACTGCTAGCTGGAGACCAGAATCTATTCCCTCCATTCTTAGTGATGCACCAGGTTGCATAACTGTTGGTTTCTTTCCATAATCTTTTCACCAGAGATCTTGGAAAGATGGAATAGAAAGCATCAATGGGTTTTGCACCCTCACCCAAATCAATGCTTGGTCCAGGTGTGTTACCAGTGAAGGGCTATGTATGGCGTTTTTTTAGCATTGTACTCCATCCATCATCATCTATCCTACTACTGTCGTCTTCAGACTCAGAGTAGTGTGCTGGTTCAGTATATACTGTTTTCCAGGTGTTTTCTATAAATTTGGCATTGTGGTTACGTAATCTTAACCGTGCCATCTCTTCATCTTCAGGTGAAAAACCACCTATTTCACTCCCTGATGAGGAATCTACTGGAGGTGGTGGGGATGGTGAGGACATGTATGAACCATCATCATCGTCAGAAGTACTGTCATGTACCAGGGCATGGCTTACAATTATCCCCTGCATTTCTGGTAGTGGTTGCTCCCTACTTTCTGATGGTGGTGGGTCTATATTTTCTGGTAGCGGTGGGTCTACACTTTCTGCAGATGTGTCATTGCTTGTATCCATCTTTTCCTCATTTTCAATGTCACTAACAATTGCATCTTTTTCATTATCCCCTTTTTTCTGCTGTTTTTGTCGCACTTTCCCAGACCTGGTCCTTGAAGGCTCTGTAAGGAGAAGCTTTTCTGCATCAGTAAGCTGCAATGAGGACATGCTTCATGCAAGTGGCTCACAGTTGGACCAATTCCTGTAATAACAATGAATGAGAACCCACTGTTACTGACAGGAAACAGGTTTCCATGCATATAAGGGAGGGTGCAGAAGGAAGGGCACTTGGATAGAGAAATCAGCGTGTCCTCCTGCAACTCTCCTGGACACCATAAAATAAACGCCATGCAAAGGAATCACACATAAATGACAGTAGTGCATATCAAAAATATTTGCATTCTAGCAGAGCCAACATGTAGTTATCAATTTTTCATACCGCCCCAGTATGGATATTTTATAGTGTGGATGAACCAAGGCTTTTATATGTGTACTTGCTACCAGCAGAGTTGAACTGGCATGCACTCAGGCCATGCTCAGTGGTATGAAACAGTAGCCTCGTGTATCCATTACGGTATTTTATGTAGTTAGCTTTGACTGATCAGCACTCAGGCTATGCTCAGCGGTATGAAACAGTAGCCTCGTGTATCCATTACGGTATTTTATGTAGTTAGCTTTGACTGATCAGCACTCAGGCTGTGCTCAGCGGTATGAAACAGTAGCCTCATATATCCATTACGGTATTTTATGTAGTTAGCCTTGACTGATCAGCACTCAGGCTATGCTCAGCGGTATGAAACAGTAGCCTCCTGTATCCATTACGGTATTTTATGGAGTTAGCCTTGACCGATCAGCACTTAGGCTATGCTCTGTGGTATGAAACTGTAGGCTCGTGTATCCATTACAGTATTTTATGTAGTTAGCCTTGGCTGAACTGTACTTACCAGTTCTCAGCATGAGCTGTGTACGGGTTTCTTGCAATTCAATGTAGACAAAATTCAACGGGAGAGCTGACAAAAACACGTCCTGTTTTATCCTCAGGAATGCACCAAATAAACAGGATTAGTGAAAAATATTCCCTTGAGTCACCTCTATATGCTAACATGGTTGGCTGCAGGATATATGATATCCCTGACCCAGGGGTGCTGCCAGACCCCACATGTTCAAGACTGCATATTTCTGCAACTTGGGCAATGAACCAGTGATCACTCAATTACATTTTGCTGCACTGTGGGAGGTAATCTCAAATTAGGTTGGGCAAATCACCGGCTACTAAAAATTACATTACGGTGTTTCTTGAATCGTTTCCTGTTTAGTTACTCTATACGCAAATAACGCGGCCGGTATAAATACATCCCAATCTTCCTGTCTAGAGTCGCAAAACATACTTAATATTTGAATTAATGTTTGATTAAAACGTTCCGTATTCGCGTTACATTGTGGGTTATATGGCGTCGTGTTTGCTTTTCTGATTCCAAACATTTGGCAGGTCGCTTTGATTACTTCCGACAAGAAATTTTGACCCCTGTCTGACAAGAGACATCTTGGTGCTCCGTACCTGCATATAATTTCATCAAATAGAATCCTAGCTGTTGTTCGAGCATTCATGTTTTCCGTCGCGAACGCCTCAGCCCATTTCGTAAAATAATCAGTAAACACGATAATATACCGATTTCCCGCCCGAGTTTTATGCATGGGTCCAATAAAATCAACTCCGACCCTATGCCAAGGGGCTTCTATTTTTAACGGTATCAAGGGGGCCTTGGAGCGTAGTTTAGGAGATTTCCTAGTGGCGCAATCTACACACGTAGACACCCAACTATGGATTTCAGAAGCCATTTTTGGCCAATAATAACGCTGCCTGATTGAGCATAGTTCTGCAAACCCAAATGACCTGCCGTTACTTCATTGTGAATGTCTAAACGCGATTTCTTAATTTATG